TCGAGATAAAAAATGTAAATTTTATTCGTTTCCTTTTTTTACACACGACATCACACAAGAACAATTAAAGTAAAAAAACGCGTGTCGATCAGATGTGTCGTTTAAAAAATTTAAATTATTTTTCCGAGGTAAGAGAAGCCCCTGGGCTTCTAATACACCTTCCACATCGATGGCTCCGGAGGGGGCTTCTAATATGGGGGGGCTTCTAATATTGGGGAGGCTTCTATTATGGGTGGGGGGGGGGGGTAAGTACTTCGACTGAATAATGAAGTCGGTACTTACCCTTTTTCCAGAAGTAAATTTACTTGTAAGTACTTCTTCTTACTGTCCAAGTACTTTTAGAAAGTACTTCTTAGCAATAAGGTAAGTATTTCGATTATTGAAACGTATTTGGCAAGTAATCAAGTACGTTCTCTAGGGATGTCATTCGTCTAAATAAATGAATATTATGATACGCGCTTTACTGAAATTATCGGAATTAAATGAATCCAGTCTAAATAATTTGATGGATCATATATCTATTCAGGGACTACCAGTTGTATTGGAAAATATTGTTGAATTAAGCCTTGATTTGACAGATATAAAAATGTGTTATTTTAGTTTCATGGTCATGATCTTATGTGAATACAGTATTTGACACAAACGCATCCGCATGGTGGCTAATGCTGACATGTTTCATCTCCGTGCTTGTATCGCTGCATATACTGAAGTAGGTACTAGACTATGTAAAATTAGAATTTCATGATGTGTGGTGATACAATCTGAGGAGAGATACGTTTTGCTCTCTGAGTTTTTTCTGTTATATTGCACTATAAACGACGTACAAAGTTAATGAACACATGTTTCTCTCCCTTCTGCTTAGAAATCTAACTATCGGATATCCGCAAAAGCAAGTGCATAGGATCGACCGACGGCAAACGCGAGCCTCATTCCATTGCGTTACATGTAGTACATTTCAAGAGCAAATAGACGGTGAGCAGTATCTAGAATAGTCATTATCAGAGAAACAGAACATTAGTATAACTTCTTGAATTAAAGCCTGCAATATAATTTTGTCCGAGGACAAGAATATTATGTTATTTTTACAAAAAGATGTAATGAAAATGAGAAAAATCAATTTTAACACCAAAACGATGATCGTTTTGGTGTTAAAATTGATTTTTCTCATTTTCTCATTATTCAGTGAATAATGTATACGCTTTAAATGTATGTTTATATATAATGTATATGCTTTTACAATGTTGAATTTTTTTCTTCTTAATACAGCCGGTCTCGAAGACTGAAATTGTATTGATAGAGTTAAGTATCAGGCAATTTTTGACAGCAGTTTTGGAGTTGGTACTGTATTTCTTTGACCTGCAATAGAAGTTTTAGTGAAGCGTATGAAAAATGAAAATTTTAAATTTTGCTCGAAAAATACTCTTGTCGTAAACAACATCCATGTTCTTTTAATTCTTTTATCGCCAGTTTAAAGCGCGTATTCCACTCTACAAAATCCAGTCTACAAGGTAGGCGGTTGATTTTTGAATAACTCCAGAATGAAAGCAGATAGAGACTTGCGGTTTTCAGGTTTGGATAGCCAAGACCTGTAAGCATCCTTTAAACATCCTTTTACAAGTAGAAATAATTTTGAAAAAATTCAAAGACCGGATTTTCAGCAGATCTTTGGAAAACCAGCTTGAATCTCTGAGAACTGGCATAGAAATAGGTCACCGTTTCTCCATAGACAGATAGTCCAAAGTGTCCTCTCGAAAATGAATGCTAAGCAAACTCTTAATTTATTCCGGTTCAGACGTGGCATCGGTTTTCCTGAGAGCCCCAGGATCAATATTTCTTTAGCTGTGGCAGTACCGAAATTAAATGGAAACATAGGTAATCGACTACGCTAAATCTCGTGCCAATGGTTGGCTTTGAGTGATTTAATTGCAAATAATTCAACCGTTACACAACAGTCTCCGATTACATCACAGGAACGACAAATGGCCGAATATCTAGCTGACACTGTTAAATTAATGGCCAGTGGACAAAAAGTTGATTCCGTTGAAGAAACTACTTTAGATTTCGGCCGTTATACCGACGATGAAGAGAGTGAAGAGGAGGAAGAATCCATGCTGGATGAGAAAGAAAGTGAAGAAATGGATGAAGATTGGAAGGACAAAGAATTAGCTTTAAAAAAATATAATTTAAGAAGCTTTTCACAAGAGTTTATGCGTCAAGTTATCGATTTTATTGATCATGCAGGCCCGAGAAGTAAACATGGGAGATCTTGGAAAGCCATTCATCACCGATTAATCCCAGACAGAAATTATATTCCACATTTTCGAAAATATTTGGAACATCATGGAACAAAGCGACAGAAGACTCAAGATCTATACAGTTTAGTTTACAAGAAGTTAGTTGATGCAAGACAAAAGAATCTCGTTGTTCATGATTTGGATATCCAGCGATGGGATTTAAAGATAGCTAAAGAAATAAAGCTCGACGATTTTCATGCTTCTCATGGTTGCCTGGAGAATTTCAAAAATTGTCATAGATTAATTAACTTCTCTGAAAATTGCAAACTTTGTTTCACACTATCAAGTCGAAAATCGGGAAGTTATACAAAAATCAAAACAAAATTTTATTTTGGAGTTTAATAACGTGTCATCTCACTTTAAACCATCTGAAATTTTTAACACAGACCAAACAGGTGTCGAAAAAGAATTACACTCAAATCGCACTATCTCTTTCGTCGGTGAAAAAAGGACTTTTGCAGCTGTTCAGTCGAAAAATGCTACTACACACCCTTACACTTTACAGCGAACTATCTCATTAGACGGACGGCTCTTAGAAACGATTTATTTATGTTTGCAGGAGCAGGGAGGTGAGTTAAACATTAGTCGAACCGTTTTAAACCACTATCGCTCATTTATTCCCTTATCTTAGGAAAAATGGGAGAGCAAGTTAAGAGACACTTGTTTCAGCCGAAAAATGTCGTTATAACCTGTTCGGCGTCGGGAAAACTTACTGCTTCATTGGTTAAATATTGGAGAGATAACCGTTTTCTTCCATTGGTTGGTGCTAAATGTCTGCTGCTATCAGACAGTTACCCAGGACAAAATCGCAAAGAACTCGATCAACTGAAAAATTGCGGCGGTAAAAAGGTCACACGTTCACAAATACCACAAAATACAACTGACGAGCTACAGCCACAGGATTGTTATTTCACCAGACAAATTAAAAGTTTCCTCAAAGCATGTTATCATCGTGTAGCGTTGGATGAACTAGATATGCACTTACACGAACGAAATAACATCATACGTTTAGCCAGTCTAATGCACAATCAATTGAGCGCAGATGTATTCATGTAACAAATATTTTTACGAATCATGACTCTGTGAAACTGCTTTATTGCCACCTTTATCACAAATTGCTAATAACATGTGTGAAAAGACAGAACAGAAAGAAAAACAGTAGTTTTTCCTTTATAAATTGTGCAAGAATATTAGCGGTTTTTCCCTCTTTTTTTAAGTTTTAGACGCAGAAGACTCGCTCAAAATCTCGCTTAGAACCTTGAAAAATTGTTTTCTGTAGGTTTGACGACGTGCTCTTTCATTTGGACAGGTCAAGGAAATTTTTTAGTGAAAATGGTTTTTTGTTTGAAAAACCAAGATCTTTAAAAAACGGATCTTTAAATCGAAAGCGGGAAAAAACCATTGTGATATTCGGAATCAGCACGTTCGATTACCTATTATCAACTGAGTTTAAGCTCAAAAGCGAGGAGGCAGTTGGTGGTCTTTCCTCGAGAGTTATTCTTTAGTATTTTGTTCGGTATGCAATATGTCTTCATACTGGCTATACACTTACAATGTTTATTTTTTTCTCGCATTAGTTCAAGTCAGAATCGATTGCGAATTCTCTATTATTTTCTGACTACTTTAAGTCACCATCTAGGTTAGGTAAGGATCGATTAGCAGCTCGAGTAGCATCTATTGGTGCAACTGGAATCCATTTTCCATCGATAATGGTTAAATTGCTTCAAAATGCCATACCTGATGGTATAGAAAATCGTTTCTTATACCATGTTGTTGCCAACGCTGTTTTACCGTATGATCCGCGACCTAAAATGGGAGCTGATAGTATTACGTTGAAGCATATTTTCATTGTGAGTCATTTGATTGGACAAATAATATACAAGTATGATGATGTCGGCGATAATAGTCAACGGTTTGTTTCTGATTTAATGGCATCATTTTTACATAAAGGTCAACAATTGATGATATCGGGTGTTAGCATATCTAAGTCACCGTTCTATCCCTAGTGAAAAACTTGCTCAAATCTTACTAAGATCTTAGAAAAATCTTGTTAAGATCTTAGAAAAATCTTGTTAAGATCTTAGTAAGATTTCGCTTACATTTGTCTAAGATCATAAACAAATCTTACAAAGATCGTGAGACCGGAGAATTCTAAGATTTGATAAGATTTTTCTAAGATCTTCGACAAATGTAAGCAAAA